TCTGTGATTCTGTGTTAAGTCACATGACTTTAACTTACTGCTATTGTATCCATAAAGTGATTTGCACTTACAAATACACTCAAGTTTGGTGTGAGGTTCCTAACCTGCTTGTTTGCCCATGTTTTTCAGCTTCCAGATCGATTTAAGTTTGCTCCAGAGATGGAAGGATATGTAGATGAATTTCTGAAGAGCTGTGATGACCCAGAGAGGCAGCTGGCAGTGATGATTGGCTTCTCTACCCTCACCAATCAAGGCTATTCAGTGTTTTCCAGCTCTTCCAGGGTAGTTAGACACCTGCAGCCAATGGCATTACAAAAATACATTGACTGGCTCAAAAACATGTTTCTCAGGCCAGACCTTGACTGTTGTTTAGACTTCTCAAGTAACCGACAGAAACAGAACCAGGAAAATGTAAACATGTGAGTATATAGATGATGCACTTTCCTCTTCTCTTTCTGTTTTGTGGTTAGAGTAGCTACCTGTGTGAAGTCTGGTCTGTACAGTCAACATTTGCTGGTTCCCTTGCCATCAGTTGCCAGTTGTTGCCAGTTCAGTTCATGCTGTCTTTGGCATAGTAAGTTGCAAACTTGAGAAGATTATATCTTTTCCTGTGTACCTGTCGCTTTCTTACTACGTAATTTTGCCATCTTTAGTGTAAAGCCTCTAAATATCTCTTGCTGCAGTGGACTGTGTGATTTGTGTTTATTTTGGGATAGTGTTCAAACTACTGATTATGTCCACTTCCTTATTGAAAGAGCACGACGTAAGATTGTTCGATTAAGAAAGTGGATCATCCACCGACTTGCTAACATCATTGAAAGTGCAGTGAAAAAAGAAGAGAGCCTTGTAATAGACATTTCCAGGTGAGAATGATTCACAGACTTAATGCCACATGTGCTTGGAATGATTTTGTTTAGTTCTATAGAAGTATGTCAAGTAAGCTGTCCCCATGATGCTAGTGGAAATATTCCATAACATGTATTGTTTAGAAGACTGGGTTCTGTTTTCAAAATACCTTCTGCAAACTTGGACAAACTCTTGTCATAAATACTTTAGGCACTTAAAATCAAATCAGTCCCATTTGTTTTCAGTAAATTTTAGGTTCCTGGTTACCTAGACTGCTTGAAGGTATTACTTCTAATCTTTGCATCAGATCTTAATAAGTATTTATCTGTCAGTTAAAAAATCTTGGACAGTATGACCTGAATATGAGAGTCTGAGCATTGTATTGTGTGACCTCAAGTGTTGGCATTTCCTTTTTGTGAAGTCCTGAGCATCCTTCTCTCTTCTTTACGCAGTGTACCTTGAGGAAAGTGTCTTATTGTAAATAGTGACTTTTTTTTAGTGCTTGGACATCCTCAAATAAAAATGTGAATATTTGTTGCTATTTGGTTTGCACACATGGTCTGGTTTTGCTTCTTTATGACCAAGCTGGCTCTTCATTTCGTCCTTGTTTCTGTTCATTCTAGGTTTTGCTTTTTCCATGCTTTTTTTGAGGCTAAGAAAACGACTCCACAGATACGTGAGGCAAATGTCCTTCCATCAGAGCCCCTGTATGAACAGGGTCATTCAATGGCAGAAAGCTACTTCTTTGGGTAAGGATTTTGCTTGCAAATTGCAAAGCTTGGAAATTTATCTTATTTTCCTGAGGATAAGATCAGCCTGCAAATGGCAGGGCAAGAGGGTTGGGATTGTTAGCTGCTATTGGAGCATTTGTTTGACTCCAGGACGAGGGAATGGCTTTTTTTAAGGAGATCCTAGGTGGATTTCCCAAAGATCCTTAAGTTTTGTCCAATAAACACGTAATTGTGCATGGCAAACCTGCTGAGTATGTGTGTGATGATCAGGTAGGTTTAGAGTTGAGCTCAGAGTGCTTTTTCTCAAGATTTCAGTTGCTTCTGTTGCAGGCTAGAAGTGGAAGGACCCAAGAGGTGGTAGGGCTGTGCGAGCTGCTGTTGGTTTTCTGTCAGCTCTGCATGTGAATCGCTGATGGTTCTGCAGTCCTCTCTGTAGTAAGGGAGATGGAGTTGGTATTAATAGATGCTTTAAAGTGATTGCCAAACCTGATGCTGCAGCCTTGGTAGATGAAAGGCAGAGGACACGATGGGACACAGAATGGGAAACAACTGAGAATAACAGTGTCCCTGGGGACACCAAGACAATGAGCTATACATTACTGTGCTTGGATACATCATGGGTTGAAACTTGGGCCTCGTGAGCCTGGGTTGAAACGAGTGCCCAGAGCTCTGAGATGAGAGCACTTTTCTGGTGGACATTATTTTGGAAAAGTGTGAGAAAGCCATCTGGTTCCTCTGACAGTAACGTGCTGGCTGTTTGGGTTTTTGTTGTTTTTTTTTTTTCAGGTTACTTCAGACTTTAAACACATTGACTGTTTTGGGGGATACAGCAAAGGCTGCAGCCTTGAGGGAGAAGCACATCCATGGTGTGACTGCAGATGGGAAGCTGTGGATATTTCTTCTTGTTGAGTATGCCAACAAGCTCCTGTTCTCCTGTGAGCATATCAAAGCTGTGAAGCCTTTTACCACAGAACAGAGGGATGCCTGGGAGAGGTGGGATTCAACCAGTAAAAGAGAAATTGTATTCTCTTATCCTCCTACTGTTGTTCTGGCCACTGTAGCAGAGCTGTTTCACAGCCATGGCAGTTCTGTTTCTTCTTTTTGAGTTTTATGCACCTGTGACTGGGTTTCAGGATGCTTCTCTGTTTCTCATCACCCTGTTTCTTTCTTCCTTCTGTGTGCTAACTATGTGTAGATGGCCATGTCCTGCTTTTGCCCAAACATGATTATAACTCTGCTGATCTTTTCTCCTAATAATGCCTGTATTAGCTTCTCAGTGGCTCTTTTCTGGCCCTCTTTTCTGAGCTTGATTTCCCATAAAGGTGTATGCCTTGGCTGTAGTATTGTGAATCTAACCTGTGCCAAATTGCAGAGGTTTTTATAAGCCACACAAGATGAGATACTGTTGTTTGGTTAAGATTGTATACTATGTGTGTGTCGAAGTCCAATAAATTAAATGTTAAGTTCAAAAAATACTGCTATAGATTTTATCATGGTTTTAGTCTGATCGTAAGAGAGGATTTGCTGTTGTAATTGTGAAAGACTCAGAAGGGTTTCTTTCTTCAGGACACTTCATTCTGTGAAGAATCTGCAGAAGAAGGAAAATAAATCAGACAGTGCTAAAGTTGTTGCTTTCCAGCAGCTTCTGCTTCTAATGGCCATTCATCTTTTCAAAGTAAGACTTCTGAAGCATATTTGAGTGGTGTAAAATGGACTGATAGCTGGGCTTTCTGACCACTGAGCTGGAGAATCTTTGTGTTCAGAGATCAAATCTTTCACAGCCTCTGGCTTCTAAAAATGGACAACTGGCAGCTAATTAACTCTGATTCTTATTCTGACTGTAGACATCAACTTACAAGGGCAAAGCTTGGCCTGAGCATTAGTTTTGGCCTTGATTTGCCACTGAGTGGAGCAATTTTTACTTAGTTTTGTATTTTCTTGTGCAAAGGGGTTGTAGTAGCTGATTTTAATGTTTGTACCTATTTAGAGAGGTCCTTAGATTCGGAGAGTATTCCTTCTGTTTCTGTTGGTAGTGGGGAATTCAGAGAGGGTGGTTACTGTCTGCTTGTGATCAAACAGAATCCGTCTGAAACTATGGATGTTCTGAGTGACCTTCTGAACTGCACAGAGAGGGCATTCAGCGAAGAACCTAAGAAGAAAAAGACTGGTGAGTCCTTCCTACAGAAAGAAATGGAGTGGGGTTGTTAATGGTCTGTCAAAAGACATAAGATGGCAGTTCTGCATTAGCGAAGCACTCTCACTTCATCAGTTCTGACTTCTCCCCAGGGGTCCTCCTCTCCTCTCCTTCATTCTCTTTCTTTGTCTTTCTAAACCTCTTGTCTTCTGCTCCAGCTCTCTCTCTGCATCCTCAGTGCATTGTGTTCCCATGTGCCTCTTAAAGGACAGGTGAGCTTCAGAGCTGGCCATAAGCAGATGAGCAGTGTCCAAGGAAGTTCACTCTTTTTCAGTCCTTGTTCTGTGCTGGCCAGAAGCTTGCCTGGAAGTGGTGATATCTGCCCAGGCAGAGCTTTGGGCTCTCCTAACAGCCAGCAGGCCTGGAACTTTGTACTTTGAGAGCTCAGGTTCTGTGCAAACTAAATGTGTTCTGTGTGTAGATGCAGCCTGTTTGCTGACTTGGGCTAGTCCTTGTTTAGGGCCTGCAGAGCTAGGTTCTGACTCAACCAGGAAAGAACCTGGTTTGGTCTTTTGACTTCCTCTCTAGCTGCGGTCTTGTTATTCTCCTTAAATCTCTGTGTAAATTTGAGGATACTGTGAAAATAAAAGCTGTAATTCTGTGGTGGCTTGGTTGTATGTAGATCAGGATTCTCAAAGTTTTGGACCAATGAACCAATTTTAAGTGTTAGGACTTCTCATGGACTGCTGTGACTCCTGATTTCATTGGAAACACTATATATAAAATGTATATCATTTAGCTGACTAGCTGCTGATTGCTTTAGTGTGGCCACATAGATGTCGCATGATTTGCAGCACTGCTTATCTAAGTAATGGTTTAATGAACAGTAGCTTTTGTTACCTGCTAAGGCTTTATAGTGGCCTACAAACAATTTCAGGCATATTTCTCCCTACAGTTAGTAGCCTTCCAACACACCTACAGTCTTTAGCTTCACACTTGGTCATTTCTGGTCTGTGTTGCTGAGTGTGTATTTCTAATAGTCAACTAGAAGGACTACCTTTTTTCCCTTACTGAATTTTTCTGTAGTCTCCTATTGATGTGCCAGTGTAGTGCTTTTGTCTTTTTCTGTCACTGTTTATTTGTTCCTGTGCAGACAACACAGAGCCAGGATGGGTTGAGGTGATGGTGGAAATCCTTCTCTCCCTCCTTGCCCAGCCCAGCCTACTCATACGTCGGATTTCCAAGAGCGTGTTTGTACGGATATGTCCTAATCTGACCAAAAAGAGCTTGCAGCTGATCCTGGATGTAAGTAGTAGTAGGGCATTGTACTGTTTGCCTGTATTGTCCCTAACAGATATACAATCATGTCTCTGTTTTGGGATTAAATAAAAGTGTTCTTAATTTAGAAGATGTCTGACACTGTGTGCTACTGAATTAAAAATAAATGATACTGAATGTCTGAATTGGTCATACCACTGAGTGAGTTGGTGTCTTCTGAGAGAGTAGTATGTGGATTGCAAAGATGTGCTGTCGTGTACTTTATATGATGAACCTAATACTTCATTTGTAACAAATCAAAATGTGTGATGTCACCAACCTCTTCTGTTTTCTCCACCTTTTGTTACCCATAGAGAGAACTTAGCCTATTAACAAATATGATATTATAAACCGGAAAGTTGAATGCCCTTACTTACTGTTTCATTACCCAACGGGCTTACCGTGCTGAAATTCCTGTCTGTTGTACACAACAAATGGATCAAAATGAAACATTGAAAAAACACAAGTTCTTCTTTTTTGCAGGTTCTTGACCCATACCAGGAGCAAAATGAAGAAAGCGCTGTTGTTGTGATGGAAGAAAAAGACAGAAAGATCAAATCCGCACAGGACGTGGTAATTGACTCTTCGGACTCTCACTGTTTAATGTTTCTTCTGATCTGTGGTAACAGACTTAATTGCGTTTCTCTGTCTTGAGTGCAATGGCTGTTGCTCTCTTAAGATTTATTTTAAAAGCGCAACACACAGATAGTCTGTTGGAAGTGCGTGTATGTTAGACTCTTGGCCGTGAAGGAAAATGCTGTAGGTATGGCTGTTTGACTAGATTACTGTCTGAGGAGAGATGACTTCATCCTGAAGTTAGCACAGGCTTCTCTTTTTTGCAGCCACAAACTCAATTGTTGCTGTGATGCACAGCCATCTGAATTTAAGATCTTGGATTTTAAGAACTGCAGAGATTTGAGTCACAAAGAGTTACAAGCATTAGCAGAAAGGAGAGTCAAATGGAGGCTGTTACTTTCAGATGTTCCTTGGAAGCTTCCTTTTGATATTCATTTAATATGACAGAGAAGTCTGTATTATGTTCTGCTTTTAGCTCTTGTGAAGACCTGTTCCTTTGTTATCTGAGGTTTCTTTACTTGAATCTGAGAGCTGGAAGCAAAGCAGTGGGTTGAGGGGAGGCTTGAGTTTTTATTTCTGAACAGCAACACCTCTGAGAATTGAGTTGGGGTTGAGGAATGGTGGGGTCAGAAGATGAACTTTTTTTCCTCAGGAAGAGGAGGAAAGTGAGGACTCCTCAGATGAAGACGACACTGAGGAAGAGAATGACAGTGGAGATGAGGAAGAGAATGAAGAAGTTGATGATGATTTTCGCAGTCAGCTGATGAATGTTCTCCAAGCAGGGAATGCATTGGTATGTTTTCACTGCCTACCTTGATACAGATACCAGGAGGTTTGGTGTGGTGAAAGGCTATCTAATACCCACACCCTATCTGCTCCCATGCAGTGATAACTCTGGCTGTTTTGTATGGCATTTAAAGCAGGAGGTCAGGATCTTCAAAGCAAGCTGTGGGAATAAGTCACTTGTTCTAATATTTATTGTTAGTGTGTCCTGAGTTGCTTTAGTGTGTCCAGTCTAGCCTGATATAGCTTGTATTTCTGCTTGCAATAAACGAGATTGATGTGAACTAAAGCACTGAGATACTGTTACATGGTGCCTTTATTGGCTGGCCTGTGTGGAGGAGTGTGATCCCTGTAGACCACACTGGAGACTTGTAGCAGCGTTGGAGTGTGGTTTAATGATTCCTGTAAAGGCTACAGACAGCAACATATTAACCTCTTCATTGAAGGAGCACAAACACAAGTGTCAGTGTCAAAACCTCACCCTCTTCCCTCCCTCGGTCCTCTAGCTCTGTGTGTTAGTACTGTGCAACCAGGATTATCTGAGAGGAAATATCGGAGAGATTTCTCATGGGTCTGAGCATCTGTTTTCCCTCCACATGTTGTTACTGAGGGTCTAGAGGTAGCCACATCCCTACTGTAAGTCTGGTCTTGGCTGTGGTTCTCTGCCCACTGTTGGTTTGAAGTACATAAAATGACATGATGTTTTTGCATTCTAAAAACAAAAGGGAGGAGATGAGAATGATGAAGAGCTGGATGATGAGGCTATGATGGCACTTGACAAGAACATCTCAGCCCTTTTTGCCGAGCAGCAGAAACGGATCCAGGCGAAGAAGGATGAGAAAGACAGGTTGCGGAAAGAGAAGATCCTACGGAGGGATTTCAAGATTAAGGTGGGAGAAAAGTGTTTGGTATGAAGACCTCTGGTTTACTAGCATATTAGTTGTAGGCTACTGCATGCCATGAGCTACTTAAAATGGCTTGGGACGTTCATGTGTGTCATAAACTCCTGGAGGTTGGAACTGAATTGTTCTGGCTTTGTAGAGCACTTGGCACAGCAAGACTGTGATCAGTGATTGGGGGCTTCATGTTTCTACTTCAAAACAAAATCCAGGACTGTGCTATCAAAAAGTGAACCATGGTTTCCATTTTCTAATTTGAAATGTGTCAGTTTATTAGATCCTTCTCCACACCTACCGAAAAGGAGGTGTCTGTAAATTTTTGTGAACTGGACAAGCTTGATGTGCCTTAGTGTGACATGCATTAAAATCCCTCTAGTAATTTTGCAATGTAAGCTTTTTTGGGGGCTTGTTACGCTAATAAAATCAGGAGTATGGTTAACACGCTCTGGTTATTTGTGACTGTAATACTGTCCTGAGGCCACCGGGTGTCAGCATAGACTAGCCAGGATATTTGGGCGTCAGGGCACAGACTGCTTAAGCTGCTCACAAACAGAAATGTCTGGTGTCAGATTAGTGAAGTTAAAGGCTGAATGAAGTAGAGAGCCGTTGTCTTTACTGTGTTTTCACTCAATGCTATCCTGTAACATGCTATCTTTATGCTAATGCACTAGCTGGAAGTCATGAGGGATTTGCAGGGCTGAGAGCTATCAGTCAATATTGCTAATAGTCATCTGTGCCAAGTTTTAGTGACTGCACATCTGGCCAGGTAGCAGTAATTCTCATAACTGCTGTTTCTAATTGATGTCACTGCACAGAATAGGCTGAAGTCAACAGACAGCCTTTAATCTTCAGTTTCAAATTTTTAATTTTCCATTTCCATGCCCTAGCAGTACAAATGATAGCAGAAGGTGTACAGATCTTAGCTGGAAATAGTTTTCTTTAGCCTTCTCCAGCTGCTATGAAGCCCACTCCAGTCTGAAAGAGCTGCCCTGGGTAGATCCATCATGTTTCCCTGTCTGCATTAGTTCTCATGCCAGTAACTATGCTTGCAGGTGCTGGATCTGATTGAAGCATTCCTGACTAAGCAACCCGAGAATCCCTTGGTGTTTGACATCATTGAGCCTCTGCTTCGGGTGATTGAACAGTGCATGAGCTCAGACTCTGACAAGCAGGAGATTGACTTCCTCCAGAAAACAGCCAATATCTTCAGGTAGGTGGCCTCCAGAGAATAGGCAGTGGCTTTTGATAGACACCAGTGGTGTTGGTTGAATCCCAGAAGCGCACACACACAAAATACTTAGTCATAACATGCAGGAAAGAAATTATGATCTAAGTTTTCTAGTCAAAGGGACTTCAAGTGTCAAACCTGTTTGCAGGTGGAAACCTTAAGAATAAACGTTGGTATTGCAGGCACAGTGCAATGTCACTGAATATCTCCACAGGCCTCTGACTTCTGTATCAGACCATGCAGCAGCTCCCTGGGCTTCCAGAGTTGCTGCTGTGGCTGGAATGAAACTCCCAACAAGTTATTATTGAGACAGGCAGAGTGCAAATTCTCTCTGTTCATGGCCAGAAGTGAGGCGTGATACAAGCTGAGCGCATCCGTAATGCGTGGTGTGTGACATGGTGTGTCCTCTGTCCACCACTCCCTGACGTCCTCAGCAGAGCTCTAAAGCATTTTTAGCTCTTCTCTCTACCCCTGTTGAGAAGCAGTCTGCAGAGACGGGGTTTGAGGCAGCCAATCCCATCTGTGGGAGCTCTGGAGGAAACTTGACTCTTATGCCTAAATACTTACTTGAAGGCAAAGAGCAGTAATGTTCCTCACCTTTCCTGCCACAGCAATGACCGCCTCCTTTGCTGCCTGCAGCTATAGCACCATTTTTGTTTATGTGTTACCCTGAGCTCAGTGGTAAAGGTTTGTAGCCATGTGTCCCCAGACCTCTTTCTGTATGTAATTGCTTTGAGTTTGTTTTTAATGCTCTTTCAGGAATTCATTGTGTCGAACTAAGCAGTACTGCAAGAACGTGGATGCCCTGCAAGAAGATTTGCATGCTTTTATGGAGAGGCTTGTGAAAAAAGCCTGCAAGCACACTGACTCTTCAGTGGCTCTCTATTATTTCAGGTGAGTGTTAAAAAGGAGCGTCTATACTCGGTGCTGCAACCATGGCTGGTCTGTAAGCAGGCATAATGTTGCATGTTAAAACAGTTCAGAGAAGTGAGAGACTTGATGAAGGCTTGGTGCCAGCATCTGTGTCTTACATGAGGGCTAGCTTTCCTGGCAGTCTGAAGCATTTTCAAACAGAAGTCCATTTTTTGGCGATCATCTTCTATAGGCTCTGTGATACAGGAATGGTCTAGTACAGTTTTGCTTATAGTGATGGGAAGCACTTCCTTGAGACTTAATTGGGGAGTAAGGAATTATGTGTGGTTCAGTGCCGGGGATCAGTGTAATTTATAGTCAGTCTGCAATGATCATTCTGTAAATACAGTGGTTTACTGTTTCCAGGAGGACAGTAATGATTATCAGTCCTGACTGCACGTGCGGTATTCATTCTGTTACTGCTGGATACAGGTGAATTAGGATAAGCCATATGTATATTTGTTAGGAAACATGAGAAATCTTGCTGTTTCCTGGTGTAAATGGGAGTGACATTTACCAGTAGGCTCTCTTGTATCTTGCAGATAGTTTCAGGAGGACTTTCATACTCCATCTGGGATTTCTCAACACAACTGTGTATGCAGTGGGTACCATGTTGCATGGTCAACCCTCTGCCATCAGACAGTATTGACTCTGCAGCACACCTGGCCCAGGGCTTTGCAGGAACCGTGGTTCTTCCTGACAACACAGGGCTGGCTGTGTGTGCCGCATGCCTCCCTGACAGCTTCCTGGCAGTGGCAGTCCTGAGGGGAGCTGTAGCCAGTTAATACAGCATTTCACAAAAGCAGTAGACTGTCTGCATGCCCTCTCAGTTGATCTGCCCGAGTTTTCCAGGCACTCAGCAGCCTGGGCTGGGAGGGCTGCACTGCTTGTGCAGGCTCAGAAATCCTGGGCAAATGCAGAAGTCCTCAAGCAGTGCTAGTCAAAAGCAGGAACTCGAGGAAACCAGGCTGATAGGGATAATATCTGAGTGCAGTGACAGATAAGGAAATTATGCAGCCTCTTAAGATTTATTTGTCTTTACATTTGACAAGAGTGTGTTAGACTGAGAGAAGGGACCTTCTTGGACTCTTTAACCCTCCTCGGTATAGAACAAGCTGCCTGCATCACTTGGTTCTGCTCTCAGGTGGCTTTGCAGTGGAACGGTGACACTTTTATATGTCTTTCCATTTTCCTTTTCTTTTTTAGTGCCTCATTATACCTGCTCAAAGTGTTGAAAGGAAATGTATCTGACAAGTCATTAACTCCTGCCCCTCTGCCAGAAAAACAGAGCAACGCCATCCCACAGGCTTTTCAGGTAGGACACTAGACTTCTCTTGTGGCAGTGTTTTTTGGCAGTAAAGTTGCTCCATTTCACAGAGTGGGCCTTGCTTATTCAGTCTCACTGTTCCTGCTGCCTGCAGATACCTATCTATGTGATTTCTCTTCCATAAAGCTGTCATTTCTGGCTCTGACCCTCCTGCCTTTGCAGTGCCTGCTTGCCTGTAGCCACCAGGGGCTGCTGATGTACAGCAGATCCAGGTTAATTGCCTAAGAAGCCTGATGTATATTTTTACTGCTCTCCAGGTTGATTTTGCTATCCTTTCCGTTAATGTCTTGGCAGTCACTCTGAGTTCTTTTCTGGGAGGGTGCTGACAAGCAGGGAGACACAGGATAGTGGTGGACAAGAGTGAACTCCTATCTCTCTGAGGTTTGGGTTGAGTTATTTAATGGTGAAAGAACATGGAGCAGCCCCAATTTCAGTGGTAGTTGTTTGCACAGAGACTCTTCATCCATCTGTGCTATGGGTGTCTATTACTTGGGGACCCTCACTGTCTAGTTCCCTTACTTCTACTGTCTCTGCTGAATTTCACAGGTCTCTAAATGTGGTGACCCTACATATGGGACAGCCCAGTCCATTCAGCTCCACTAGAAACCTGGCAACTGGTGTTTCACCAACTAGCCTAACACTTGCCTCTGCATGTCTTGAATTGTGTGCCTTAATCCTGTAGACAGTTTGTTAGGGAGGAGAATAAACAGGGATACCTCATGACAAGGGAGGGCCTGGAAATTACAAACAGCAAATGTTTCTAAGGCTTAGTGAGAGACTGAGAGTGTTAATCCAAGCAGCTCTTGTTCTGTGCTAGGCCTTTCTGGAAAGAAAAATGGAGATCTATGGGGAATATAAACAACATACTTGCTGTTGAGGCTAGAGTGAGACACGCTTCACAGCATCCTTGTACTTGGTCTTCACAGGGAACCAGAGACAAAGATGTGGCATGTTTCCAGTGAGCAGCACTCTGTGAGCATTATCTGGATCTTTTCAGTAAGCAGCAAAGTGGAACTAGAGCAGACTCGATGATTTATGAGAGACTGAATGGTCACAAGTTGCTTCTGGAGAGAGTCCGATTGAACTCCAGAAGAAAATTTTTTACCGTGAGATCAATCAGACACTGGAACAATCTCCCAGGAGAAGTGGTGAATTCCCCTACATTGCTCAGTTTTAAGAGTCAGCTTGACAGGGTGCTCACTCATGTCATTTAAACTGTACTTTTACCTTGAGGGGTTGGACCAGATGTTCCTTGTAGTCCCTTCCAATCTGGTATCCTGTGATTCTATGATTCTATGCAGTGAGCAAATTTATGGCAAAACCTGTTACTACAGAAGAAATTTTTTGCAGTAAACATCTGCATGGGAGGAGGAATCCATTTTTTCCCTGCGTTTGTGTGTCTTAAATAAGCATTAATTATAGAAACTTTGCTAGGAAACTGTGGTTGTGTATTTCAAGATCTGTCTCCCCTGTTCAACTTTAGCGTTTGTTCAGCTGCAGTAGCATTGGGAGTTCAACCTGAGAGTGGGACACGGTGTTAACACGGCTTTAACTTGCTATGGGGTCATGGAAAAATTACATGGGCAGAGGTTTGCAAAAGGCCTGTCCACTATTGTGAAGATAACAGCTTTGACCTCCTGGGCCTTAATTTTTCTTTCTTTCCAGAGAGCAGTGCTTCCCTGGCAGTACAGTTAAGAGCCAGGAACATCAGGATGTGATGCTCTCTGCGCTTTGCTCTTCACTCACCTCTGTGATGTTACTTCTGTGCACGTCTCAGCTGGTTGCTGCATGTCTGGGTTTCTTTTTTCCCACCAGAGGGGGCTGTTAGAGCAGTTACACAGCTCTGGGACTGCTGGATCCCTGGTCAGCACTAAGGCTTATCTGGGTATCTGGAAATCCTGGACATAGCTGCTAAGTGTTTGTACATCTAGATCTCTACATACACTACTATCTACAGCTGAGAACACCATGTGCACAGCACAGCTGCTGCAGGATGGTCTTTGAGTGCTCTCTGAGCCTAATGTGTGTTAGACGTGCCCACCACAATCCTAGAAGTACAGTGCCCATGCTACACCACAGTACATACAGTGTATGTAGTCTTACTAGAAAGCTGTGCTGCCCTTCACTAACATGGACGTATGGCTGTCAGTACTTGAGAGAGCATGTTTGTGGCCCACTTTGTTGTTTCTTCATGGTTCTGTGTTGTATCGCGTAGGCCTGTTTCATATAAACTACTCAAGAATATCTGGTTGCTGGAAAAATCAGTGTGCACTGTTTAAAATTGATTACTTCATTGCTTGTGATTCATCCTTGTGTTTCACTTGAAATTTTTGATCTGCTTTTCCCCTATAGCTTATGAGCACAGGTTGTCTGGATATGAAGAGGGTGACTGAAATATATCAGCAAGCACTGACACAACTCTTGACTAAACGGAACAGTGCTCTTACAATCTCCATGTTCCATGATCTCTTCAGACGCTTCCCGGTATGTGTTGCTTCTGTGACAGAAGGCTGCTCTTTAGCAGCCCAAGCATAGCCCAAGCAGGTCTAATTTTTTACCAGTATTCAAGACAACATGGATAAGTGAGGTTTGCACAAAGGCAGAAGGGGCTAGCTTGTTTAAACTGCTAATGTAGCTCCTGTCCAGCTTTGCTCTGTCTGCATGCTCAGTTCCTCAGTTTTCATCCAAGAAGGCCATAGAGCATAGAGTCTCATAGGAATCTAATCTGCAAGCTGGATGTTTAGACAGTGTCAGTGTCTGAAATGTTTGAGGTATTTCCTGCAAACTTGACCTGTGCCTGGAGACCTATGTCTCCACTATGAAGACAGCCAGTTTTTAAGAAACAGGCCTTGGGTCTGAATGCCATACAGTTCTTCAGGGATTTTTAGGTCACGAGTGAGGTAGAGACAATTGGCAGAAGCCCTTTCTCAAGGGCTTCAATCTTTTAGGATTGAGTCTGGTGGGAGGAGACATAGGCTTGTGTAACCGAGAGAAGATGCTTTCAGACTCTGAGGTAATCCATCCAGGAGGCACTTCTGCATGCCAGGTTTCTTAGGTCACCAGACCACAACGCCACCCACGTAAGTTAGTGACATAAAGGGAAGAGAAGAGTTGTGTGCTGCCCACATGGACAGCAAGCTTAAGATCCCACCTGCAGGTTTCTAGAGCCTGTGGATTCCATGTGACTGTTCCTTGCAGAAATGTCTTTGAAAATGTTTTGAGCTCATCACTTTTTATAAAGCAAAAGTAATGATATACACAGATACTGGCCTGTTTAAACCTGGGCTTTGCCCACTTGCTAGAGCTGTCTGTTCCTTTAGTAGTCTTCTTACTCCAAAAAGGAAGCTATTACAGTTGGTGTTTGTAGAATAACCATCCGCACGATATGTCAGTGAACTGTGCAGCAAACTGCTGTCCATGCTTTGCCAGGGCCATACTTGTCAGTGCCTGGTAGACAACGTTAGAGGTATGCCAGTATTTGCAATTAGGTGCTTTCTCATTTCTTGTGTTTGAATTCTTTGTGTCCCTCAATTTGGAAATATTTTGTCTGTAAACACAGAAATTGGTGGATTGGGCCAGAAGCTTTCATGAAGCTTTGCTGACAACAATCCCTCTAGAAAGGCTGTTTTGGTCAAGACTTGTTGCAGGGGACAACTTTAAGATCACCTGTCTCCAGGGAGGCTTTCCTCTGGACACAGTTGTTTCTGGCCCCTTTAGCTTTTGGGTTCAGATCTCTTCCCAAGCTCTGATGTTCTCCAGTCTAACTCAGTACGTTCTCCTTTGCCTCTGGGATCGCTCCTCTGTGTGAACTGCCTACTTAAATCAAGAACCAGGCAGAACACAGGAGGTGAAATCTTTGCTTGATTTTTCCAAGTTAAGCCTTTTGCTGCTGATTTTGTTGTGGTCAAGATTTCACTCAAGGTTGGTGTGAGCAATGCTGTTAATTTTCAAATAAGCTGTTGCTGATCTCTGGGTACTTTTCTTTCCTGGGGCATTTTCTTCTTACACAAGAAGCTGTGTAAAACATAGACTGTTTTGCTTGAAAAACAAACCTGTCTGTCAGCTAAACAATAATAAGAGACTGGGTCTTTCTTTGTTACAGATCATGTGTAAGCCATTAGTAGATACTCTTGTCAAGTCTATCACAGCGGGAGCCAGGCAACATCATCAGGTAAGAAGGAAAGCAAACAAACAAAGCTGTATTAAACAGTCAATTGGAGAAGTCACTTAATCATGGCATCTCAGATAATACTTAATATGTTTATTGCTGCCTTTAGGGCTGCCCAATTTTGAGAAGTAGGCTTCCTGGGGGAAGAGCTTTTGCCTCACTTCTTTAGGTGTGTGGCTGAAGTTGATACTTAATATGTTTATTGCTGCCTTTAGGGCTGCCCAATTTTGAGAAGTAGGCTTTTGCCTCACTGCTTTAGGTGTGTGGCTGAAGTTGCAGAAGTAGTTGAAGTATTCACAGCCATGGGGGTTCTTTGGTAGCATCTCCTTTAAAAACTGCCTGCAGCTTTCAGGGTTGAGGCCTGATTGTTGCAGGGTTGCCTTCAGTCACTTACTCCTTGATTACTTACTTATTGGTAAGATGTTCCTCTATATTAATGCAGTGTGTTGTAATCCTTGCCTCCTAATGCTACCTTGAAGTTAGCTTCTTGAGTCTGTTCTGCACATTGCCAGCTGTCCTCTGTTTTCTAGGCTGTGTGCTTCTTTGTGTAGTTTAAAACCACCTGTACTATAGATCTGATTTTTGATGGTTGATTGCATGTGCCTGACTAACACAAAATTAGTGGAGCCTTATCAATAAAACATTGCAGGGTGACTGCACAGCTCACTGTTGCATGAGCAGAGTGCGAGGCCTGTCTGGATTCTCACTGCAGCATGCACTGCAGTAGGGGTGCCTTCCACGCAGTTAATAACCAAAACCCCTTCAGGCCAGTAGCACTGTCTCAAACTTTCCCACCCCCTAGCTGTAACGTGCATCTGTCCCCTGCAGAAGTGGATTGTAGATTAACCTTTCTGATTCATAAATACCTGTTCAATTGTTTCTGATCGTTGGAGGGAACGTGAAGGACTAGGCATGTGTTCACAGTAAGGCTGCTTTACGTTGTTGGTGTAAATTGCATTTCAGGCTCTTTTATTCAACAGGAATGGTTCTGATTTAAACAAGAACAGCAACAAAAAACCCCGAAACAAAACAAAGTGAATAAAGCTGTTTCAATGGATAGAAATAAGGATGTGTTACACAAATAACAAACTAGTTAATTATAAGGCACATACTTTATCGTCAAGAGACTAAGAACAACATCCCAAGCAGACAGCTTTATTTATGTGGGTATCTCTGCTTCTCCACAGGGAATAGCATTATTCTTCTTTCAGGACTTCCACAGTTATCTGCTCAAGCTTTGTTTCCAGAGCCTGTTTATTCCTGGGTGGGAGGGGTAGGGGAGGGTCCGCAGTGTGCTGTATGTGGGAGACTGGATAGAAAGCATGGCTACACTGCTGTTTAAACAAAGGCAACTTGGAGAGTGAGCTATGTAAACCCTGTGGAGTTTGGAGTTGCAGCTTTACATTTTTTGCAGACTGCTGCTTTTTCAGGAATTCTGGCTTCCCTTCATCAAATGTCCGATTTCCCAGGATTTCAATTAAATTTTCCCACTTATTCTCAACATAAATGTGCTTTGGTGGTATCCTA